ATGCTTATATAAAGGGTTTTGAATACTTCCTCATAAAATAAGTTAGAATCAGTCCATCTGGACGGGAATAACGATAATGTAGATAAGACGCCGAGGTGATAAGACGTGCTTAAATTTGGCTCCTGATTTTACCTGAGCTACCTGTGCAATTACTCTGATTGGATTACAAAATAAGTCCTGTTTTCAATAATCACTATGTAGTAAATCAAATGATGGATGTGAGTTCAAGTTCCAGTCTTTTTAGATCATTTCTGGATTCTTTTACTGGATTCACAATTCCAATAAATGACAATCATGATGACGTGCATATTAATGTGGACATACCAAGCTTTCTAAAAGTCACCACCAATAAGAGGAGCTTTACTGTGAACTTTGACCAAGAAAAATATGAAATTATTTTTTCATATTTGCAACAGGAATTGTTATGTGAGAAAACTACTAAGGGAGATGGCCATATTTTTAAGACTAGTTGTAGATCTGTTACAGCTACAATTTACAGAAGTACCTCGGTACTCCATATTCAGGGGAGTACAGCATCATCATGGTGCGAGAAATTCATTGAGGAAATAAGTGTTTACGCATGTGACATAAATGAAACAAATATCATTATTTCCCAACCGCCGCCACAAATGGCATCTACGCCAAGGAGGAACCTATCGAATTATGCTCAGTGTAATGAAACTAAAGAATGCAGCAGGTGCTGTAATTCTGCCTTACGCGTGGAGGAACTTTCATCAATTGTTCAACGCTTAACGCAGGAAATCGAGTCGTTAAAAAAGGAACTGAGTGAAAATGCAAATAAACGTGTAACCAGTTCAAGTACTCAGACAACCTGTACAGTCCTCAAACATAAAGGCAATTGTACAAATGATCTGCCAAAGGCTTCTAACAATGTCACTTCTAGACATGTACAGTGTAATGAAGTTATACCAGAAGTAGCTATGAAAGAAAGCTCTACAAACACAGAACCACAACAACCTGTGCACCGGAAACTAGGAAACAGTTCCGTCCAGAAACAACGTAATTCCACATCTAGCAACCAGCAGAAAACTACACTCCTGATCGGAAGTTCAATTCTGCAACGTATTAAAACCCGTGGGTTATGTTCAAATGTTAGTGTGAGTACCAACAGAGGAGCCAGCATTTCTTATATTCGTAAGAAATTGCAGCAATATGATGTGTCTTCTCTAGAAAATGTCATGATTCAGGCTGGAGGAAATGATGCCTCAAATAAACGGAATATGGAAGCAGTAGAAAATGACTTTTCCGAGATAATAATGGATCTGAAGAAGAGGAATTCAAATATTAATGTTTTCATTTGTGAAGTCATGCCTCGAAAAGATGCATTGATCATTGATGTGAATGAAGCTATCCGTTTTGTGTGCGAAGAGTATGGTGCGACAGTGATTAAAGCAAGTCAAATTTTCAAAGCCTGGAATTCCCCTTTATACTGGAAGGACGGTATACATTTATCTGACCATGGAACCGCCTCTCTGTTGAAACTATACAATAAGCATGTCCCAGTTCTGAAGCAACATCAAGTACCGGCTCCCTCCGCATCGATGAAGTATACGTGCTGCTACTTCTGTGGAGAACAAGGCCATTCATCCCGGAATTGTAGACATGGGAGCAAAGTAGACTGTTGGCAGTGTGGGGAACCTGGCCACAAACAAAAGTTCTGTCCGTACTAGAATAGGGGCAACGAATGTCTGGCCGAATATACAGAAAGTATTTCATTAAGTCTGCAAAATAACTTTTTACCTCTCGAAACTTTATGTTCAGAATGTAACAAAAATTCATGTAAATGTATCTTAAAAAATTCTCAAATAGAATTTTCAGCTGCCAAAAATATACATTATCTCAAAACTAAGCAAAAATCTAATTCAAAACAGGAGATAAACAAAAGCCCTAGCCCTGAAAGTCTAAATTCTACCAAAGCAATAAACATCTCTAATAAATGTGCACTGACAAATTCTGATTTTGGTCTAGTTAAAAAAGGTTTGCGTTTCGGAAATTTTAACGTGTGTCATCTTCTACCAAAATTAGACGAAATGAAATTAATTTTACAAAATGAACGATCTATGGATGTGTTGGGGCTTTGTGAATCTTTTTTAAATGAACAAATTAGTGATGCAGATTTGAATATAGATGGTTATGTACTTGAAAGAAAAGATCGACAAAATAAGGGAGGTGGTGGAATAGTTATTTATGTCTCAAATAATCTATCCTATAAGCGTCGACAAGATTTAGAAATTAGTAACATAGAAACAATATGGTTAGAAATCAATTTAAAAAACACAAAGCCTATCCTCTATTGTTCTGCATATCGCCCACCATCTGCACCCATCTGCTGGGTGGAGGACCTAGCTAGGGAGATAAATCGTGCCTCCTGCTGTGATGACCAAGAAATCATACTTACAGGTGACTTTAATATTGATCTACTAAAAGACCCCCCTCTATCCTGGACATCTGCACTAGAAGAATTTGGACTAACTCAATTAATTACCACACCTACTAGAATTACTAACACCTCATCTACCCTTATTGATCATTTCTACACTACCCAACCTGACCTCATCTGTGAAATCCAAGTACCACCCATAGCTATGTCTGACCATTACCCTGTTTGTGCAACACGCAGATCTAACAGCATGCAGCGTAAGGGAAAACACACTGAAATTCAATACCGCGACTTTAAGAATTTTAATGAAGAAAAATTTCTTTCCGATTTAAAAAGTGTCAATTTTGATGCCCTTACGAATTTGGACAATCCTAACGATATCTTAGCGAACTTTTACAATATGTTTAATACTATTCTAAATAGTCACGCTAAAGTAAAGACTAAACGTGTGAAAACTGAGTCTCGTCCAAAATGGTTAACACAAGAAATTAATGATGCTAGACAATTACGAGATTACTATCATCAACACAAAGACTTTGAAAATTTTCGACATTGGAGGAATAAAGTTACGCTTTTGATTAATAATGCTAAATGTACTTATTATAAATCAGCTATTGAGGAGAGCTCTAATCCTAAAGAACTCTGGAGCTATCTGAACCATTTATCCTCAAAGCCAAAATATTTTTTCCTACTCATATTAAGGACAACGGATCAGAAATTAACGATACACAAGGTATTGTCAATGTTTTTAATGAACACTATACAAAAATTTCTAGCAATTTATTAAATGAATTACCAAAGCGTAACTTTAAACCAGAAAAGTTGAAAGAATTCACAAAGTAAAAACTTAATGATGAAAATGTATTTAGCTTACTTCCTATAAGACAAGACGAGGTCTTCTCAATGCTATGCAAACTTGACATTAATAAATCGGCAGGTATAGATTTCATTGGTCCCCGCCTCTTAAGACTCTCTGCTGATATAATTTCTAAGCCTATAACTCATCTAATTAATACTAGCATTACTAATGACATCTTTCCTTTGCATCTGAAACAAGCTTAAGTCACCCCTATATATAAAAAGGGCGATAAAAATGATCCAAGTAATTACAGACCAATATCAATCTTACCGACTTTATCAAAAATTTTTGAAAAACATGTTGCTAATCAAGTACGTGAATTCACCAGAGCTTTTGACCTCATTACAAACTCACAGAGTGGCTTTAGGGAATTCCATTCTTGCCAAACGGCACTAACCAAACTTACTGACAGCTGGTTGAATGCAATGGATCAAGGGAATCTCACTGGCATAGCATTTCTAGATTTCAGTAAAGCATTTGATTTAGTCAATCATGATCTCTTAATTGAGAAATTGAGGCACTATAACTTTGATTCACTTACAATTACCTGGTTTCAGTCTTATTTAAATGAAAGAACCCAAAGTGTTAAAATTGGTGCATGTTCTTCTGATATCTTACCTATCACAGCAGGGGTGCCCCAGGGATCTATTTTAGGTCCACTGCTATTTTTATTGTACATAAATGACCTCCCCCTATGTGTCAATCACTGTAATATTGATATGTTTGCAGATGATGCAACTCTGCATTTATCTGATAACAATGTACATAATATTGAAACATTTTTGAATTATGATTTATGCGAAATTGAAAACTGGTGTTTACAGAACCAAATGATTCTGAACACGAACAAATCAAAATCTATGCTTATGTGTACACAACAAAAAAGGTCAAAATTAGATATTCCAGAACTTAATACAGAAATTTCTGGAGAAAAGCTTGGAAATGTTAATGTTGAAAAACTCTTAGGTGTCTATATAGATCAAAATCTTCATTATAATTATCATGTAGATTCAGTTTGTAAATCCTTAACATACAAGTTATTTACACTCCGTAAAATTAAGAAATTTCTTCCATTAAATACCAAAAAACTTTTTTATAATGCATATATTTTGCCTTCAATAAACTATTGTCTTACAATATGTGGCAATGCATCTAAAACTAGCATTGAAAGAATTCATAAACTTCAGAAACGGGCTGCTAGAATTATTCTTGATGCAGCACCCGAAGAACAATCAAAACCATTGTTTGAAAAACTGGGATGGCTAAATGTATTTGAATTAGTCACACTACATAAGTGTATTTTATTGTACAAAACTTTTTATGGTATGAGCCCCGAATATCTCCAGGACCTTTTGTTTTTCATAGCAATGATTCCTATTCCTTACGTTCAGAATTAAATTATAATCTTCCTTTACCAAAACATAGAACAATTTTACTTACAAATTCTATTCAATATTCAGGTGTAAATTTATGGAATAACCTACCATTACATATAAAATTATCACCAACCTTACCTATTTTTAGACGAAATGTAGAAAAAATTATAATTAGCCAACGTATGTAAATAAATGTTTGAATATGTCCTTTGTACAAGATGTTTGACTATTACTATTGTTTAAGACAATGTCTCTTGAACAATTATTATACCATCGTCTATTTTTTACATCAAATACCAATCCTCTGTTTTTCTGCCAGAATCTACTCTGCTCTGTTTTTTGCCAAAAATGATATCAACAAGTATTTGAATTGAAAAGAGCATTTATTACAAATGCCAATGAAATATACAGCAGTATTGTTTGATATTAAATATATGTTACACCTGTCACAATGAAAAATTAAAAACAACCAAAAAGGTACATACAATAAAAAAGGAAATGCATATCTTAAATTTGCCCTAATTAATATAGAACAACAATGCATATAGAACTCTAAGTATGTACACAATAAAAACACACATGACTAAAAATGGCAAAAAAGATGGGACTTGATTAAAAAAACATGCCCATACTTAAAAATAAAATGGCAAAAGAATTGGGACTAGCTTGAATAAAAACAATATTGGCACTAACTTAATTTAAGTACCTAAAAGTTATTGTAGAAAAAGAACTAGTTACAATCTTGAATAGCCAACAAGTATAATACAGATTGAGCAAAATGACAAAACATGATATGACTAGCTTCATTTGAACACACAATAAGCACCGGTGGATGAAGGGGAGGAGGAGGGTCAAAATCTTCTCCCTTCTAAAATTACAGTAAACAATGATCACGTGATCCGAGATAAAGGATTTTGTAAGGCGAAAATCTTAACTGAAGGCATAACAAAATCCGGAATATAGAAAATAAAAAATTTTACAATAGAGATGGTATAAATTACTTTATGCTTCACATAAATACAATTATACCATCGTCTATTTTTTACATCAAATACCAATCCTCTGTTTTTCTGCCAGAATCTACTCTGCTCTGTTTTTTGCCAAAAATGATATCAACAAGTATTTGAATTGAAAAGAGCATTTATTACAAATGCCAATGAAATATACAGCAGTATTGTTTGATATTAAATATATGTTACACCTGTCACAATGAAAAATTAAAAACAACCAAAAAGGTACATACAATAAAAAAGGAAATGCATATCTTAAATTTGCCCTAATTAATATAGAACAACAATGCATATAGAACTCTAAGTATGTACACAATAAAAACACACATGACTAAAAATGGCAAAAAAGATGGGACTTGATTAAAAAAACATGCCACAAACTTGTCGAAAACAGTAGCTTAGAGACAAGTGCCCCATCCAGAGGAGATGAATGGGAGAAAAATGGGAGATATCAGTATGACAGGGTAACACATACCTAATGTCTATTGCTTAAACAGTTCTTGGAAACATAAATCCTGAGTAGCGTTAAAATCAAGTACAACATACATCAAGAAAATGTCAGGAAAAGGTATGAACCTAAAAAACAAAACCTGTCCATACATTATACAAGCAAAAACGAGATGTTGGTAAATGCAACTTATTTAACAATACCCGTACAAATTCAGTCCGACTGGATAGACAATGCTGCCTCAGACAGTCAATAGTTTATCCAGTACTTTATACATGTAAAACATAAACACCCGTATAAAAAAAATGTAAAATGCTACACAAAAAACCAATTGGATACAAATTGTGCATAAAGGAAAATGTCCACATTATTCCCTAAAGCTTGATAAACATATAAACAATAAAAGCTGCCTCAGACAGTCTAAAATTGGCACGAGTTCATACACTTTATCTCCATTAACTTATGCTGCCTCAGACAGTCATAATTGATCAACTACGAAGTCCAGTGAAATCCAAAGTCATATGTATCATGTGTATGAAATAAATCAAAATCTCTTTATGTCATAAAAAGCCAAAACTGTTATCTACAAAATTCTGTATTGGATAACGGCCACTAAGTAAAAATATGGAATTGATATAAATATACAGCTGCCTCAGACAGTCTGAATATAAATAATACATTTATGATTGCAAGAGGGATAGGGAGGGAGGGATACTACACGTTCATCATCAGCTGCCTCAGTCAGTCTGACTTGTAGGTGAAACCTCAATAGTATCAAACACTGGGATACGGAAGTATCGTTTGACTGCATTAGAATTCCAGCGACCCATAAGGCGGATTTTTTCTTCAGATACTTTGGAGTGAAAAGCATAAGAAGCTGCCCCTATGCGAAAACTATGAGACCTATAGAGCTTGGGGTCAAGACCAGTATATAACACCACATTCTTGAGTTCTGATGTAAAATATGCTTGTGAAATGGGATTGCAATTATCAAAAGTAAACAAAGGACCCTGAGCTGAACCTCGTGCTTCAATGTATTTCACCATAGCACGAACCGGACAAATGGATTTACATTTCTGAGTAGCTATTTGTAAACAGACCGGTCTACAGGATGCGTTGTGCTTGAAATGTCTAAGAGTTAATGTCATGTATTTTGGATTTGTCAAAGGTTTGTCCAGTTTCAAGTTTTCCATTTGTATAACATTTTTAATGTTTCTAGGGGATTTTGCTGTTATTTCTCCTACGCGTAAGAAAGCAAAGAAACTCAGAGTAAACATTGCCCTAAGGAGAAGCCTATTGAATTTTTCAGAGATTGTGTTTTTAACTGCATGTACAATTTTGCGCAATATTTGAGGTGTGATAGGTAGCCTGATATCAGGTGTACCTGACAGCTGTTGTGCACCTTTAATTAGTTTTTTGATAATAAAAAATTGTGTGGGGTCTGTGAAACCATTTAGACGGTGGTAATATGAAAGACCAGCAACATAAGTGTTGATGGTGTTGTGGGATTTTCCTTCTTTATGTAGCCAAGACACAAAACAAATAACCTGTGCTACTTCCGTAGGAAATTCAGGCCTGGTGTGAAATACTTTTCTGTAAAAATTCTGAAAAACAGACATAGCAGTCTTGTAAGATTGCTGAGTATTGTAAGTTACTGAGGCTTCCAACAATTTAGATGCAGTCTCATTCAAACATGAAGGTATTGCTTTGGCACAGTAGTTGGAAATCGGTCCATGTATGGTGCCAACCCAAGGAATTTCTGCACCTGTAATCGCGAAAGTAGATCTGGTAAGACATTTATTTTTCCAGGAATATGCTCCGCTTTGAATAAAATATTATGCCTTAAACAAGCAAGCACCAAGCGTCTCAATAAGCACATAACAGAGGTGTCTTTAGAAGAAGTTTTGTTTATAATTTCTACTACAGCTATATTATCTGAATGAAAAAGTATTGATTTGTTTGCAAGTGCATCTCCCCAAGTTTCTACTGCAATAACTATTGGAAATAACTCTTTAAAAGTGATATTGTAGACCTGTCTTAGACCCATGTTTTCCCAGGCACCATAGAACCATTTAGTACCGAAAACAGCACCATAACCAAAATTTCCTGCAGCATCTGTGTACAGATGTAGTTTTTGAGAATTCAGCCAATGGTCATCAATAAACATAGATTTTCCATTAAAATTCTCAATAAATTCGCACCAAGCACTCAAATCTAACCTAGCCTGTGCATTCAGACGAATGTGAAAATGTGGTTTTGAAATACCTATGGTGAGTGTAATAAGCCGCCGTAAAAATGCCCTTCCCGGGACAACAACACAACATGCAAAATTTAGCAGGCCTATCAGAGATTGAAGCTCACGCAGAGTAATCTTTTTACGTCGCTTGGCAGAATGCAGAGCATTCTGAATTTTCTCTATTTTGTCTCTTGGTAATCTAGCTTCCATGTTCATAGTATCTAACTCTATACCCAGAAAGATTAATGTAGTTGAAGGCCCCTCAGTTTTTTCACATTTAATAGGTACCCCTAAAACTTCACACATTGAAATGAACTGAGATAAAGCTAAATTGCATACTGGGGAATCAGGTGGACCTAAAAATAAGAAATCATCCAAAATATGCAGCATATTGGATACACCGAACTTTGAACAAGCTATCCATTGTAAGGCAGTGCTAAATGTCTCAAAAATAGAACAAGATATTGAACACCCCATTGGCAAGCACCTGTCATAATAAAAAGCCCCCTTAAATTGAATCCCTAACAATTCATGGTCATCTGGATGAACAGGTAATATGCGAAATGCCGAAGCGATATCTGTTTTTGCTAACAAACAGTTTTTACCTAGTTTCTTTATTTGTTTAATGGCATCATCTACTGTTGCGTAGGAAACAGAACACAACTCATCAGGGATGAAATCATTTATAGAGGCTCCGTCCGGATATGACAGGTGATGAATAAGCCGAAATTCATTTATTTCTTTTTTAGGAACAATTCCAATAGGAGAACACTGAAGGTTTGTAAAAGGAGGTGAGCTGAATGGACCAGCAATCCTACCAAGGGAAATTTCTTTTTGTAATTTATTTGAAGCTATATTTTCATGCTGCTGAACCGATACTAAATTTTTACAAAAGCGCTGTTGCCTTGGACCCTCATATTGTATTTTGAAGCCATATTGAAAACCTTCAGTTAAATAAATTTTTAAATTGTCATCATACCCTTCGAGGAACTGCCTTAAAATGGATACCTTAACTGGTGTTACTACATTTTTATTTGTTTGCGTTTTGGGGGATTGATGTTTGTTTAGACTGAGATGTGGTACCGGTACCCTTTGTAAATGGTTTATCTCCCCCTGTGCAGTACAAGACTGAGTGTGTTTTCCTACACTGAAAGCAGATGTGCTTATACTGGCATTGCTGGTTTGAACATTTTCCACTTTTGTGGTAGACGTAGCAGAATCCTGGAGGGGTTCTATTTTTGAATGAAACCCTTGGTTGGCCCTGTTTCCCACGAAAATTGAGTTGGGTTTGGGGTTGTCGAAAAGTGGTGGCCATTACCCAATACTCGTAATGAAGTTGCCCCCATGGAATTGACTTCACTTCAATGTCCTTCCTGACCTGCTTATCATATGTAAGCCATGTCTGACCCAAAGATCTACTTGCTAACTCTCTAACAATTTCCCCATGTTTGATAACAGCTGGGATTTGCTTTGGATATTTTTCCGAATATACTGCCAAAAATTTCAAAAATGCTGTTGTCCACTGCTCAATTGTTTTGATAGACTTTTTTGGTTTTGATTTGACAAATTTATATTCAGAGTTACCAGCGCTTTGTAGGCGCAATGATTTATCTGAAGTGAAATCATCCCTTGGGAGCAACTTGACGAAATCTACGTATTTGTTCTGCCAAATTTTGTTTTTCAATTTAGAATCTATCTGCGAAGTTGTCGGATCAGAAATTAGTTCACAGTCATCGGAATCACTATCTGAAGATGAGGAGCTGTCAGAATCTGAATTATCTGTAGATTCATCATTATTGTCAGAGTCTGTACCTGAAGAGCCGCTGCTTGGCGTTCTCCGCTGTTTGCGTTTAGAACCCTTCTGAGGTTTGCTCCTCTTAGTACCCTTCTTCTCCTCTCCCGCAAGGGCTTTTAGCACCTGTTCAGTCACCGCTGCTACCAATTGTGGCTGTATAGGTGGAACCTGGGGCTGCACATCATTCTGGGAGGTACCGTCCACTTCCTCATCCATCACCACCCTCTGTGTAGCTGATCCAGCTGCGGCAGGGGGAGCAGTCCTTTTCCTTCGCCGCCCTCTCTCACTGACATTCATCTAAAATTATTTGATAATATGAGTACATGAACATGAATATAGTTCAAATATGAGCTTTCCTTTAAGAAAACCAAATATGTATATAGAGATATCATGTTCATAAAATTAACAGATATATAATAACTTTGACCATATGTATAAATAGAATTAAAATCTCCTCAACCAATGTGGTCATCAAAATATTAGCATTAACTATATATCTGTATAAATTGTTTCCTAACATGTAAAAGAATATATAAGGAAACAAATACATAATAAAAAACCAAAGGGTCATTCCAAAAGAATTTGCACTTGTAAACATCAGTGTAAAATAACCCCAACATATAGGGGTAAAAAATGGAAAACCCAAAGGGACCAAAGAAATAGGTGTTTGTACCGGGATTTAAATAACCCAAACCATATAGGGTATCAATCCCATAAAGAAATACACCTAACCCAGTGGGTTATTCCAAAAATAAGTGCAAAATAATAAAAAACACTGATGCAAAATAACCCGAACCATGTAGGGGTATAAATGGAAGACCCGATGGAAAATATACCAAATAGGTATTCAATGTCAGAAAAACCCCAACCATATTGGGGTGTAAAGACCTGAACTTAAAAGTTCAAAGGTCAAATGTGTACTAAATAGGCAACTTGTGTTACAGCCTCATAATTAGAGGGAATACACTAAAAAAAGTGCCTTACACATTAAATTCAACATATTTGTACATAAAATGAGTTTGTTTCAATGATGTATGCATTCTTAATGCACCCCACTTAATAGTGAGAATAGCATACAAAAATTACAAATACACTTTACCCACCATTGTGCAGAGATTTAAGAACAGAAACAACAACAGCCCTGATGTTGTTGTAATACTTGATGTTCCCCTGTCTATTTAAATGGACTCCATCATCAAGGTAAACACTGGACTTAGTGGAAAAGTTCCAAAATCCTTGAAGGCGGAAGAATTTGGCACCATCAACTCCCTTTGTGTAATCTGATACCCTCCTATTTAGTTCATCTGCCCTGCCGTTAAACCACGGTAAACTGACCTCGTAACGAGTGCGCCTCAGAGGAGAAATTCTATGTAAAGTTTGTAGAATTATCACAGATTTGACAGACTGTCCATACCGTAGGTCTATGAGAAATTCAATTAACTGTCTAAAAATAGAGTCAACAGATTTTTCGGGTTTACACAAATCGTTAGAAACACCATGAATAATGACCACATCCGGGCGGTGTTCCCTTACGTAAGCCATCCCCAGCGCGCGAATCTTCTCCAGAGAAGCGCCACCATGTCCACTGTAACAAATGCGAACCTCATCTCTATTCAAATTCAGGTTTTCGTTCACTCGGCTGTCCAAATTGTTTAAAACAAAATGTTCTAATCTCCGCACAAAGGAGTGACCAAGTATCAAAACGTTTTTTGTCATAACAAATGTGTTATGTAAGAAGGGAGGTTACGAAACCAGCCACTGCCACTGGTCAATCAGTTTGGAAAACGTTGTATAAAATGTTAAAATTCACATTTTACTTACAATTCTTGGTCTAATAATTCAACATCAACTGGAGAAACGTGATTATCTCGAAAGAATTCCTTATAACGCAACGAAAATACTCAAAGTCCAACGAAATGAAATCAAAATCTTCTCCCTTCTAAAATTACAGTAAACAATGATCACGTGATCCGAGATAAAGGATTTTGTAAGGCGAAAATCTTAACTGAAGGCATAACAAAATCCGGAATATAGAAAATAAAAAATTTTACAATAGAGATGGTATAAATTACTTTATGCTTCACATAAATACAAATATTGACTTCTTTATTAATTTTGAATCTATATCTCATTTAGATGTACATTACATTATGCACTAACGAACTCTACATGTTTTATCTTTGATTGTATCATTTTATGTAATATGTTGTTTGAAATTAGAAGGCCCCGGGGAAGAATAGTACCTGGTACTAATCGGGTTACCTTCTCTAAATAAAGCATTATTATTATTATTATTAGAAGAAGAAGAATATAGTTCTGGCGTGGGTCAGTTGAATAGGTGCTCCCTTGTGGGGTGACTGCTTTAAGGCCCTGTCACACCAAGCTGTGTTCACACGGAGTCATTTCGGCGTTGTTAAATTTTTGAAATCGCCGTGGAAAAAATGCACAAATTTCTGTAAATTTTTCACAATATGAAGATGTCAAGGCTCCCTACTGATGCGATTCTAACGCGATCTCACGGCGCTCTCTTGCGTTCCCACGGAGATCTCTCTGCGATTGACTGCGCTTCCTCGGAGTTTTCACGGCGCGTTAGGCGTTTTCATGGCGTTCTCACTGCGCTGGCTGCGTTCACAATACGTTCACAATGCGTTCTTTAGGTATTGATATAAATTCAGAAGGAATGTAAAACATTTTTGTTTAAAAATTCAAGTTACACGATGTTTCCAAAAATATTCTTAATAATTGAAAATGCTCTACTTAATTAATTTAGTACTAAATTATTAATATTTAATTGTTTAATGATTAAACTCCATTTTTCAATTTTATCGCTTTAGATGTGTTGTTAGATTTTCTTTGATTTTATTATGAATGTAAAAAATAAACTGAAAATTTTTTCTACAAAATTTAAGTGAATCAACAGAACAAGTTTTGGCGTAATTTTCTTTTCCATTTTTTTCACTTAAATGCTCCAAGTGTAACAAATACGTTGGAATTATTGATGAATGTGATGTATTCCGGAGCTCTTGTATCTTTCATTAACATTTTTATATATTAGAATGTAAGTGCGCATGAATATTGAATAGAGTAGTTCCGTTATGGCTGACCCACGTGTTGGATGGTGATATTTCTACAACACAACACTGATCAAATATGATCTCATTGCTCTTGTTTTGTGAGCTGGCCGACAACGCTCTAACAACGCCGTGAAAGCGCATTTTGATCGCCAACGGACGCTGTATAAACGTCATTGGAGTGCAATGATCGCAGTGACAACTCCGTGCTGTCGCCGTGTAATCGCAGTCGAAAAAATCATAAGACAATCAATCTCATTAGAAACGCAGTGACATCTCCAAGGACTCCGAGACATCTCCTTGACGTCTCCATGGAAGCGCAGTTTACTATCACTGCGTTCGTGCCACGATCATGTGCGTCTTCACGGCGTTCGTACGGAGCTCCCACTACGTTGTTGGAGATCATACCGCGCTGCTACGGCGATCATACTACTTTTTTCTGCGTTCTTATCACACCGCGATCACACGGCGCGTACTTTGTGATTGATTGATTGCATTCTGTTTAACGTCCCTCTCCAGAATATTTCACTGATATGGAGACGTCACCATTGTCGGTGAAGGGCTGCAAATTTAGGCCTTTGCTCGGCACTTACGGCCTTTGAGCAGGGAGGGATCTTTATCGTGCCACACCTGCTGTGACACGGGGCCTCGGTTTATACGGTCTCATCCGAAGGACCGCCCCATTTAGTCGCCTTTTACGACAAGCAAGGGGGTACTGAGGACCTATTCTAACCCGGATCCCCACGGGACCGCATACTTTGATCGCCGTCCCCTGGCGTTCTAGGAGACCCAACGCGACCCTACGGCGTTCAGTTGAGATCTCGCCGCGTTGTCACAGCGCTGTAGGAGACTCTACTGCGATCACCTAGGCTTTTTGCATTTTTTGAGGACGGGAGGACGCAGCCCCGGTGCGAAAGGGGTTATACTCGTATTAAAGCTTAGATGAACTCAACGTTGGTTCATGGAATTTATCGTTTTTCTCCTGCAAATGACTATTTTTTCTAGGATTCAATGATTAAAACATCTTACCTTTTCTTTTCGGTATTGTCCGACCTCTCCTCTTTGTTTGGAAAATTGAAATGATTTTAAAATTTTCTTGACATGGACTTCTAACCCAACGTTGCAATGACCAATACCTTAGGATGTTTTTTAAGTTGCATAATACATTCATTCGTTAACGCAACAACATGATTTCAGAAAAAAATATTCCTTTTTTATCTTTAAAAGCCCCCTGCTGATATACGAGGATTGTCAAAAAATTCACGGATATTTGCTTTACAGAAAATTTATTGTGTTCTTTAAAGAATGGCACAAATCTTATTAAATTGTTATCTTTGCTAATTAGTACGTAAAACACCAGGTCTATTCAAACGATTCAAGGATCAATCTCTTTGCGTTTCATTGCGTGATAACCTGATTCAAGACCTGTTAAACACAGCTTTTCACAGTTCTAAATATATCTCAGTTTAAAAGTTTTTTTTGTATATTTTTATCTGCTCAAAAAATTCACATCTATTTCAAGATATGTTACATTTCTTAAAATGCCTTTTTATGGTGTGTCGGATATTGATGGAATCTCAGATTAATTGTCTATGCAATTAATTAATCAGATATGGAAGCAATTCAAAATCTACAAGCGCAACGTTCATGTGATAAGTTGGATATTGTGGTATCGCAGAAATTAATTATCAAAAATACTAATCCTTCCATTTGTACACAGCTGACTTTAAGGGAGTATGGAACTGACGATTTTGAATCCACCGCGCAACTCCAAGTGACGTAAAAGAATTTTATGTTTTTGTTATGTCGTTCAAATCTTTCGATGATATTTTATTAAATTTTACCGAGCAACTTATTGTATAGATATACTTGATATAAAATAACATAAATTGTGATTAAAATATCATTAAAATAGAACCAAAAACCAATCAGTGAAATTTTACGACTTATCTCGCTTACCGCCGTTTTCGGCATTGTAAACAAAGCGGATATTTCGGAAAGCATGAAATGCGGAGAAATCTTGGGTTTTCGTCTATCAAATCTATTTAGCGGTACAACAAGGCTTCCTTGACTGAAAGAAGGCGATATTGAGGTGTGTCATACTGAAATTACCCTGCCAACAATCACTCGAATGAAGGAATCACAATCGCATTGAACACCATGATCACCCCATCCCACCATCTGACCATGCCCACGACAACTCTCGTCTGATCTGCCCAGGTTTGTCTCTAAGTTCAACATATTATTTTTCTTCCGTGATCATGGCAATTCTTTGCAATATAAACAGGTCCAGCACAATGTCTTGATTAAGCTATATAGCATTATAGCATTATTAAGCTATTTAAAATAGCTTTATAAAACTATTTATATGCAGTTTTTAACAAAAACGTTTTTAGTGAGAAATAAACAAAAAGTATTTGACTATTCATATATGTACTTTGGGCTATCAAAAAAACAACCTAAATCGTAGAAAGTTCTAACAATGCTGTTGTTGAATACTTTTAAGCAAAAGATGAATTTCCATTGTTTTGGTAACTGTACTAGGGGAAAGTGTCCTACTGAGTGCGGTGAGGCGTGGATAAGTATGATTGCTTCTCATTGTGTTGAACTGTTACCAATCAATTATCCTGTTGGCCATAACTGCCCTCCTTTATAATTTCATTGAAGAAATAACTGTGTGATCACTCATCAATAGCCCCCAAACTTTTAAAAATTTGAGTACAAAGTCTCTCAAGGAGACACAATTTGGTGAGTGATTTTTACATGCATTGTATTCAGAAGAGTTCAAAGTTTAATATTTCCACTGCACCAAGGTGCGACTTTTTGCACATGCTGAAAAAATAAAACATTTGAGAAAAAATTGTGATAAAATAGCTTCATTAAGCTATTCCAAATAGCTTAATAAAGCTATATAGCTAAATCAAGCTATATAGCTTAATCAAGACATTGTGCCAGACCTGATAAATATTCAAACAGGGGTAAAGGGGCAAGGGCACTATAACTATTAATCCGAGATTTCTCTGACTCGAAATCCTGCTTTTACATCTGATTGTAACCTGCACAAGTCACAATGTAAAAGCAGGGTTTAGAGTCGGAGGAATCTTGGATTATATAACTTTAATTACACGCTAAATACAATTCCACAGTGGTGTATATATGTGTATCACTGTCAGTTGATCTTCACATGACATAATCCAGTTGTACTCTGTCATGTGTAAAGATATCATATCATTTGAGACACTGTTATACATGTAACCCAAACAATTAACCTGAGATGCAACATCATGCAAGGTGTTGTCACTCTATAGAATTTTTCCCATCTACATACAATTCAATATTTCACTGACTAGTCTACACTACAACAAAAGTAATGCACATATACCTCACTCATAAAATTCTTCTGCATAAAACAGTGGTATTCATTAATTATTGCATTAATGTTTGTGCCTAAGCCGCTAAAATATGAAGCTCAGGACCCCCCCCCCCCCCCTGTAATTTGCAAGGTTATTAAATTCATATACTATACCAAGATAAAAGTTACCTTGGAACCCCCCCCCCTCGGAGAAACTTAGACCCCCCTGTTCAACATAACTAATTTGTGTTAAATCAGTAGGAATAATCAAAGGTTTGAAGCATTAGAAGTCATCGACTATAATGAAATATTAATGCAGATTAAAGAATATTCCATTTAAAAAAACTTTTATTTATACATGTAAGAATAAACATGACAAATCAGTAAATGCTCCTCAGATGTACAACATGTAAATATTTTGAATAGGTATTCCTGTTTTTGTGGACGCATGAAGTCGAGATAAAAGAGAATATAGAACATTTTATATCTGCTAAATGGGGACTTGAGAAGAGGTACATGTATTGGGATGGAGCTGACAGATGCTCTAAAGGCCAATCTATAATAGGGTGTACCACTGCAGCCCTCTCACACAGTGTCCTAGCTTACAGAACATCCGCTTACATTA